AACAATAAAAACACCATTGTTTACAATTTTAGATTTTCAACAAATATAATTATCAATGATTTTATATATTATATACCTCTTTTAATTATGATTATGGTTTATAATATGAAATAATTTATTATATAGTTTTTATAATCTTAAAATTGAATAGAGAATGAAGTAATTACTGAAAAATCTAATTGTTGACTAAAAGCATAATTAATAGACTAATCATATATGGTAAAAAAAAATACTTAGTTAATAATTAAATATTTTACTAAAAATATAAATAAATTAATAATAATTAATAGCAATAAATAACTATGTGCATAATTGGAATAAAATGCCAAAAAAATTGTAACTTACTGAAACACTGTTTTAAGTAACGATTCAGCAAAATACCATATAACAATTCACACAAATATTTTTTAATAATTCAAACATTAAGGGCTTGTTTGTTTTTTGGGAAAAACCACTTAATGCCTCTTAAGTCTGAACCGATCAGACGTTTTTATTTTCAGACTGTTTGTTTTTTTATATAAATAAGAGCTGAAAAGCTCTTAATTTGCTCTGAAAAAAAAGTGATAACATAATCACTTAAATCCTCTTAATCGCTCCCTCTAGACTCTCCCCTCCATCCTCACCTCCAGATTTAGTCCTCTAAATCTATCTCGCAAGACATTCGATCTCCAAATCAATCACGACCCAGATCGATCCACATATTCTCGTGAAATCATGACCCAGATCGATCCAAATCTATCAGATCCAAAACTTGACTGATTCAGATTTTAGATTTCAGACGTAAAAACAAACAGTCTGACTGATTCAGATTTCAGACTTCAGTACCACCTCTTAAAATTCAGAAGTGAAATCAGACTTCAGAATCTCTTAAAAAACAAACGCCAGCTAAGTTGGGTAGCTTTTTTATTAACCTGGATATCCAACCCGTTATGCGAGCCGATTAATTTCAGGACGACCACCTGCTTTACAGATAGCCCGGAGTCACCACATTTGATAAAGTTAATCTCTAGATTGCTCCTAAAATGTTGTTTAAATAATTTTATTAATAAAAAAAACAAAAGTATAATTTATAATAATTTCATTAAAAGTAGAACTAAAACACGATTCATTAGTAGATTTGAGATTAAAAGTGATTAATGGTTTAGATCCCTTCTTACGTTTCTCACCTTAACTCTCCTTCTCATACGATCCTTCGCCTATGTGTGTGTGTCATCTCACCATTTTTAACCAATTTAAAAACCGAGAAGATAAATTGATCCCCCGTCGTTCTTTAACTTCAATAGTAATTATCATATGACATTTCATAACTTTTTTTAAGATATATACGCTTCAAACATTTCACGATCACTTTGTACACAACAATTGATCTACGTCAGTAAACAGGTCCTCTGGGGAAAACAAAAACAACCCTAAAAACATATAATTAAAGGAAGGTGACTACATATGGTGGAAAAATGCAAGACATTGTTGTCAAGACGAACAACCGAATATTTTTACTAAATATTTGAATAGTTTTGTTTTTATGAAAATTTTCTTTTTGTAATTAGAGGTTCTCAATGAGTTGAAAATGTGCATGCCTTGATTAGAAATCTTGCATGAATCCTACCTTGACTTCATCATTGAGAAACCGGAAGTTAACGAGACTGTGTGTTATAACCGGAAGTTATTCGAGTTCAAACAAACAGAAACCGAAGGAAAAGAAGAAGAAATTGTTGATTAGTGTTTTTGACAGAATAATTTGTTGTTGTTTATCATCCTCGTATTTTTGTGATTATAAGGTGAGTTTTTATCTTAAATCATCATTTGATTTGTGTTAAGACTGAATTGTATGGTTCTATATGTGGGTTTATTTGAAACAGGTTATATGTTATTTTTAGCATAATTTTATGTCTTGTTATGCTATTATCAATTGGTTGGAATAAGGGTGACAAAAAGGTGTATTTGGGGGTAAGGGTGGCGTAATTCGAAGATGTGTATTTGGAGATAATGGTGGCCTAATTAGGAGAGACGTATTTTGGAATAAGAGTGGTATAATCAGGAGAGACATATATTAGGATTGGGGTGACAAATTTTTTTTTTTGTTTGTAAAAATGGGATTTTTGATCATGTGGAATTGTTATCGCATTCTTGTGATGAGATGAGATTGATTTATCGCATCTATATGATGCGATGAGAATATGTTATCGCATCCTTGTGATGCTACAAATGGTATTTATCGCATCAGTATGATGCGACAAATCGAGGAAATCGTATTTTTATGATGCAAGAAAATATATTATCGCATCTGAATGGTGAGACAAGTTGATGTAATACGAGGATGATGCGACAAAAGGTGTGATCATATTCATGAGATGCAACACAAGTTGGTATGTTATGTGTTTAACATCAATAAGTTTGATACTTCATGGGATTGATGCGATGAAAATATATTGTCTCATATATTTGATGCGACAAGAAGAGGATTGTTTTGATAAAACACTATTTATTTGTTTATTAATACAAAAATAAGTTTTATAAAAGTGTTTTGGTGATCTTCACCCTGTAATAGCAATCAAAATATATTTCTCACTATACCTTATGGTCTAACCCTTATTTTGTGTTTTAAAATATGCATTACAGGTCGGACACGTTTGGAAGATAAGGGAAAAGAGAAAAACTGTGAAGATGGTATATGTGGATTTTTGGAAAATGTTATATTATTTGTATTTGAGAACTTGTTATCTTTACAAGTCTTGTATTGGATGTATATAGAAAAATGTTGTAGCTGCTTTTATAATGTAGCAGGTTGTACATTGAGAGTTTGAGACTAATGTGTATATTTAAATATAATGTTAAATGAAATATATAATTATATGCTAATTGATAAATTACTAATGGACCGTTTACCAAACACTTACCCGGTAAGTGCTTACAGGTAAAATTTAATACTACCACTTATTTACCAGGTAATAATTTAGTCCACCGAAACGACATGGTAGGTAACAATTACCCAGTAAACGTTTACCATAGTAAGAGTCGTCGCTCTCACTTACCGGGTAAGACTCTCGGCTCTTGCTTCCTCTTACCGGGTAAGATTTTTTGTTCTTACCATGTGCATTCTGTAAAGTAATATGACTTGTTAAACATTTACTCAGATAAACGTTTGGCAAACGAACCCGATAACATCTGCAACGAAAACTTTGCACAAGTCCATGAACCACTTCATCATTTATTTTTATTTATTGGGTGAAACCGGTCATGCCCATGTGGCATGGAATCGGTTGGTCTGCGTGAAGCGGTTCTTCACTTTTTTTTTAATCAATTTTACATTTATAATTATTATAATTTATAACTTTTAACAACTTTTTATATTTTTATTATATCGTAATTATTTTTATTGTTATTTAAAAAACCGATAATTTTTTCAAACCCTTTTAAAGAATACTAAATAAAATTTAAGGGTTCCAATTAAAAATCATCGACCAATTTATGATGACAAAAAGTTATGAACTTTCTAAAGAGTTCATGATTGTAATTTGTAGGTGCTCTAAGCTGAATATATCAAATTAAAACCCTAAAACCTTCTACAATTCTTTCACTTGCCCAACCTACTCTCATACGTGTTATTTCATCCCGTCCAGTCCAATTCAGTTCCATCTGCATTCAAATGCTCATTCACTAAATTTATAAGTTCGGTATAAACTTTTTTTTTATTAACTTGGATATTCAACCCGCTATCCAATCCAATTAATCCCAGGACGACCACCTGTTTTGCAGATAGCCCGGAGTCACCGCATTTGAATCTCTGTGGCCACAAGGGGATTTTTATTTCTCATTGAATTTGAACCTGTGACCTTCTGGTACTTTTGACATTTGGAGTCAAGCTTAAACCAATTAGGCACCACCCTTGTGGTTAAGTTCGGTATAATCTTGTAAACAATGGTTGTTATTCACTCTTTATATTATACAATTATTACTTTGTTGTTACTGGAATTACCTTAAATAATCCTTATATAACTACATTTAATCCTAGAACTTACTTTTTAACATTTGTATATAGCTAATTAAAACATATATAATCAATCATAAGGGTGGTGCCCGATTGGTTTGAGCTTGAACTCCAAAGATCAAAAGTGCCTCGAGGTCCCAGGTTCGAATCCAAGGAGGAATAAAAATCCCCTTGTGGCCACAGAGGTTCAAATACAGTGACTCCGGAATACCTACAAAGAGGGTGGTCACCCTAAAAGTAGTCGATTCGCATAGTGGGTTGAATATGCAGTTCGATAAAATATGTGTGAATATTAATGTAAATAACTTGTAAATTTGAAAGTTTAACAAGGTAAAGTCATAACCACCTAAAAACTCAACCTATTCATTGTTGATATAAATATGGGATGAAATAATTCATGCACATGATTCTTTTAAATATAACCATCAAAGTAACATTCAATGGACTTGCCACCCCTATCCCTACCACTATCACCCCTCAAAAATGAAAAAAGTACATTAATGGTCCCTTGACATTCGCTTAGGTAACATGTTCGGTTTATTATTGTTTTTTGCAAATAGTTTCATGCGGGTTTACTTCAATTTACATTTGGAAACAAATGTTACTAAATGCAGTTGGACAGTTATGACATCATAGGCACGTAATCTTCATCAGTGAAAATGCTGCATACTTCATTAAATATATAAAAATGATATTTATTACGAAACAAGTAAGTATTAAACAACGATTTTGAGGCATGCTTGACGTTTTTCGAGGTCAAATTAGACAAACCCATGTGGATAGTCACGAAGAAGACGTCTCGATGTGCTAAAAAACATTATTATTGCAATTTAACGTCACAATTATCGATTTGCATTGCTTAAGAAACTCGATTTTCAATTTGTGTACTTGATTTATAGTCGAGGGACCGTTTATGTAACTTTGCAAACCATGGTATGCATATAAACACACCACCTTGGTGAAAGCCAAAATTTCCATATCAAAGTTCCCTTTGGATTTTGAAATATTAGAAATGTGTATTGCAGTGTTTGCTTGGCAAGTTCACCCTCTCTATCCTTTCCTTCTCTTGCTTAATAGAGATGAGTATCACCACAGGTAATAAAAATGTCGTTAAATTATCTGATCATGACTTTTTTTACAACCGTCTTTCAAAATTCAGTTATAATTTCATGATTTTTTACTGTGTCGATGCCTACTGGATTTTTTAAACCTACTAATTTCGAGACTTAAATGAAGTCTGACTTTATTACTGGTATCAATGCTCAAATTAACTGATATATGTCAATCTTACGATTAATTGTCATGTCTCTGTTTACTTGTATGCGTTGCCATTCTCGCTCTGGAGTTGTACCTGAATGCGTGCATGGCCACAAGTGTATTTAGTACCGAGAAAACATGTAAATGATTGTTATACTTGATTACGTAATGAAAGACCAAACACGGAAATGTTAATAGATGTTTTGTTGTATGGTGCGGTTGTAATGCACGTGAATTATGTAACCTCTAACAAACAAATACATAATGACTACAAAAGGTTTATACTATTTGTATAACAAGATTGTAAATATTTATGTTGGTGATTTTGGTGTTATCAAGCCATTTAGTATGATCGGGATTAATGTAACTGAACAGTCGCGTCTGTTGGGAACAAACACGACTCCCGCCAAAATAACTGACTTAACCGCTGGTGGCTATAAATAAGATTTCAATTCGATAGATGCAGTGTGACGATCTTTGTGCATACCATTACTCTGCCTATCTTAACCTTTTGTTCTGTTCAATCAACCCGACACATGAATTGAATACAAACATTTAGAAATTGACTTGTTATGAGGCATTGATAGTTATTAATATGCAATTAATGTTGCAAGAGGTACATTTTGAGTTTTTAATACATAACTATACATAGCAAATGCTTATATGATTTTTTTTATGTTTATTAATTTATTTATTTTCCATCTACCACCTTTTTTTTAACCTGGATATCCAACTCACTATGGGTGCAATCATACCAGCGCTAATGCATCGGATCCAATCAGACCATTTTTTCTTTGTTTTTAGCTTTTTCTTACTCGTATACCAATTAATTTTGTATGTTTTTCATGTTCATATCTTTTTTCTGACGCTATTATTATTGTATATGATGTGTGGTCGGGACGAAAGGCCGACGAAAGAGGTCGGGTGGTGGGAGGGAGGGGAGATACTGGGAGGAAGAGATGAGGTAGCTGGAGGGACGTGGTTGGCATGTACAAGAGAAGGTAAGGTCTCGTTTCTTACGAATGTCTTGGAGCTTCACACTCTCCCTGAAGCCAAAAGCAGAGGAGACCTTCCCTTGCGTTTCTTGGAGGTTTGCTTTTTCACCCGTCTCTCGATTTTCCATTTATGTCAATTATCTGGTCATACAACAGATGGTTCGTATAAAACACGAGTGACATCTAACTTTCTAAAAATGGAAAGAAAATTATAAACGCTATAAAAAATCTGAACATCATTGACATCAGATTAAAACTAGACATCTTGGTTGAGATTATGTTGTGAGATATCGTACCATATTTAAAATTTATAGTCTTACAATTACAACGTAACGTCACTAACAAAATTGTATGAAGTTAGAAGTGGATGGCTAAAAGTATAAAGTACCCTTTATCAAAAACACATACGTAATGTGTCATTCAACTGTTATTTATTCGTATTGTTGACTTTATGGGATTGAATGATTTGAAATTGTAAGTACAGATGTCGTAAATGGCAAAAAAGAGTTATTAAACAAAACATGCACGATGAACTTGATATGTAGAGTAAGAAGAGTTCAGAAGAATTTGCGAAGGAGTTGGTGAAGGAGGTTCACGAGTACAATGGGTTCAACCTTATAACCGTCGACCTTTCTTCCAAGAAGATGTTTTACATAACAAATAGACCGAAAGGTCAAACCCCAACGGTTCAACAAGTTCAACCAGGCATCCATGTCCTCTCAAATGCCAAGCTCGATTCCCCTTGGCCTAAGGTTATTTACACATTCTCTTCATTCCGACACTGTTATAAAATGTGGCATTTTACACTGCTTATTTTACATGGTTTATGGATGAAACCGTCTAAAAAGTGATGGCAGTTTTTTTTTTTATATGATATGGATATGTTTATGATTGTCGTTTCAGGTTCAACGATTGAAATTGAATTTCAAAAGGCTGCTTAGCACATATGACGAGGATGAGGATATACCCATGAAGGATATGGTTGACAAACTAATGAGGGACACCACGAAAGCCGACAAAAGTCAACTTCCTAATATCTGTCCATTTGACTGGGAATATGATCTAAGCTCGATATTTGTAGAAGTAGACACACCATTGGTAAGTTTTTTCACGTCTTACAGTTAACAACCCGAAATCACCGAACTCACAAAAATCGTATTTGGATTTTTTGATCAACAGGGACGTTACGGGACTAGAAGCATGATTGCGCTGAGCATACGAGATAATGAAGAAGCAAGTTTCTACGAAACCTACATTGAAAGAGAATTATGGTGGGAGAAAACCGTAAATTATTATATTACTCCTAAGATTAAAATAAACGACATTGTTTTCTGATGATAGAAATACAGACTGCAATATATAGAAGAACAATTACAAGCCCGAATAATTTCTGTTGTAGATACATGTTCATCCATACGTGATCATGGATTTAAAATATATCAAGATAAATGCTTGTATAAATATTATAATCGTTGTTGTTGCTAAATGAAAATACATCATGTGTTTAGTTTCTTATTAAGTAGTGCTCGTCACTGTCTCGTTAAAAATATACTGAAATATAATATATGATTTTTCAAACCGAGGATGATGGCCGAATCATCACTTATTCAGAGGCCAAATGCATTGCCATGTGCTTTTTTTTATAAAAACAAGGAGTCGTTTATCAAACACTTACTCGGTAAGTGCCTACCGATAAAGTTTAACATTATCATTTACTTACTGGGTAGAATTTTAGTCCACCAAAATGAAATCATATGCAACAATTTACCGGTTAGAGTTGTCACCCTCACTTACTGGGTAACTCTTGGTCCTTGTCTCGCCCTTACCGGGTAAGATTCTTGATCCTTACCATATTCATCTGGTAAGGTAATGTGACTTGGTGTTCACTTACCCGAGTAAGCGTTTGGTAAACGACCCCTAAATCATGTACATGACTATGTTAGAGGTTCTTAATTAGATGATCATGAAAAACTTTTCAGTCAGCCCTCATAATTCAAGAGAACTAGGGCACGCTTTAGACAAACATGTAAGCCACATACAACTGTCGCAATACCGTTTGTTATAGACACTCCGCCGTTCATACTTTTGTAACTGATTTTCAAGGAAAATTTATAACAGTACTTGTATTCGAGAAAGATTTCTTGTTTGAGGAAGTTAATTGTTACTGCAAACGAGTCAAATTAAATGTAAAATTCTTTTTTACGTGTATTATAACGGAAACATGTTAAATATTTCTCTAAAAGACAGTTTTTATTAACCATATTGACCGTTTTTTAACCTAAATAGTTTAACGAGTTATCAGCATTGCATAGCGATAAATATCGGCCTAAAAACATGCAAGATAACACACAAATAAGTGTCGTATTTACCCTTCACACATGAATAACTACTGCAAATCAAATCAAAAAGCTGTATTTAAGTTAAGTAACCGCAGCAAAAAACGACATACACTTCTTTAACACTTAAAAAAACCCACAAATTGACCACTGATATCTCGTTAGTTTTTATTACGACTGTATCAACACATCAATAAAGAACACTGTACAATAGATGGTTAAACCGCGAAATAGCAAAAAATCCATATATTTTCTCAATTTTAATTAAAAATAAAAATTTATTTAATTATGTAAAAGTTTGATACCATATTATTACCATAAATGGAAAATAAATAAAAGTAACCCTAAAGATTTAAAAAATAAAAATTTGAGGGGGAAAAATCAAATGATTTCCAAATGGGCCCAAAAGCGCGGGAACCCAAAATTCTTTCTAAAAAATGAAAACACAAAAAGGCCCCCTTTCCGATCCCGCCCAAACCCCCACCTTATATAAATTCACCCCTTTCATGCCCTATTTTCCCCTTCATCTCATACGAGCAAACCCTAATCCTAAATCTCTCAATTCGTTCTGTAAGCTTTGTTTCGTTATTCTATGCGATCTCTCGTTCTATTTCAGATGTATGTACGCGATCTGCCTACCGATTTTAATTTGTTTGTTTGATGTTTTTCAGGATTCAATCATGAAAGGGGCTAAATCGAAGGGTGATACGAAAAAAGCTGATAGCAAGTATGATTTTGATTGTGTTTTATGGATTTTTTACGCGATAGGTTTAGTATGGTTTGATCGATTAGGTTTTCCCCTAAATTGTCGATTTGACGATAGTTTTGGTTCTTATGTGTGTTGATTTTAGGCTCACTGTGAAGAAAGTTGCACCGAAGGGTAAGGCTGCTAAGGATCCGAACAAACCTAAGAGACCTGCTAGTGCCTTCTTTGTGTTCATGTAAGAACTTGTTTATTTTCTGTTTTTTTTTTTAATTTTATCACACAAATCTGTAAGTTGTTGTGTTAATTTTTCGCGTTTTTGTTGAATCGAAGGGAGGACTTCAGGAAGCAGTTTAAGGAAGAGAACCCTGGCAACAAATCCGTTGCTGCAGTGAGTACTTCTCCCAAATTCTCACAGTTTAAGCTTCGTATGTTTGTGTTGAAAACGGTTGAATTGTTGTTTGATTCGTCTGTGGTATTTTGATCGCAAATAAACAATCTACAGGTCGGTAAAGCTGGTGGAGCAAAATGGAAATCAATGTCTGATGCCGTAAGTAATCTCATCATTATCATCCATGCTTATGAAAACCTTAATTATTCGTCAATAGTAGTAATACAATGGTGCACAATTACAGGAAAAGGCACCTTTTGTTGCCAAAGCTGAGAAAAGAAAGAAAGAATATGAGAAAACCCTTGCTTCCTACAACAAAAAGCTGGTAATTACTGTTGTAAACCATGTTTAAATTGTGCCATTTTTGGATCCTATGTTATTGATTCATAGTTTGTGGTAATAAAACCAGGCTGCTGGTGGTGATGATGATGATGATGAAGACTCTGACAAGTCCAAGTCTGAGGTTAATGATGAGGAAGATGAGGAAGGCAGTGAGGAGGTATGTTACTGAAGATCCAAAACTTTTCAAGATTCAAACAATGTGTAGTTATATTCTGATCAAAGGGTGTTTTCTGAATGTGTTTATAGGATGAAGATGATGATTGAAATGGGTGCCATGCTATGGTAAAAACCTAAATCTGCCATTGTAGTTTCTTAATACCATTAGCGGAAATGTTGGTAATTGATATGTTGATGTTGGTCATGGGATAGTAGTATTGAATAGACTTTTTAGCTATTATGATGCACAGAGAGGACAAATTAGTTTTGTTGCTTTAGTGTTTTTGACTTTTATGTTCCCTGTTAGTGTTGGCCATTTTCTTATGAAATGGATTATGCTTTTAAGGTATGCTGTTTTGGGTTTTGTTGGTTTTTATGCCATTTATAATCTTGAAATGCTTTGGTTGTGGGGTTGTTTTTTATCCTTCAACTTTGTGCAATTTTTTTGTTTGAGATTGTTTATAAAAATAATTTATTGATTTATTTTGGTGTGATATTGGTAATAAACATTTTTTTTGTTTGGATAAATAATTTATACCGGTGCCAAATTGGTAATAAAGATTTTTTTGAAGAAGTTAAACATTTTAGACATATAATAAGTTATTAAGTGTTTTTGTAAAAAAAATATAAGTTTTTTTAAATAAGCAATCTCAAACACCTCCTAAATTTTTTATGTTTTGAGATTCTGTAATAATTCATGGATTCTTTAAAATTTAAAAAATGGGCATTTTTATTTATTTATTTTGGTCTTTCATAACTTTAATTAAAATATAGAAAGTAGGGGGTTACATTTTTCCAGAAATGATTATTTTATAAAACTTTTTGATTTTAATAATACAATAAATATTATAAAATTTCCAAAATTAAATGATGAGGAAAGAGAAATGATTATTTTATATAAAAGTTTGTTGGATATTTTAATAATACAATAAATACTTAAAATTCAAAAATGAAGGGTTGAAAAGATTTTAGTTTTAAAGAAAATATATAAAATTTATTGTTGTAGCTTTTTTGAATATTATCCTTTATCTAGAATGTATTATTTTTATGATGTACAAATTTAAAATCAAACACATTCAAAATTAAGAAAATCAAATGTATCAAAAAATTTAACAAACAAATTTGTATGTGATAGAAACTGAATAAAAAGCAAGATCCTAAAATAAAATCTTGGATTTTTTTAAATTTAAATTTATTACATTTTTTGTCGGTTACACAAATAATAGAATATAATAATAAAATATGTTTTTTTAATTCATAATTTGATAAAAGTAATCAATATTTGTTATAAATTCTTCCTGTTATCGAACATAATTATGTTTGTTAAAAAACATACGTTTAATTATATATATATATATATATATATATATACTTGGGATCATGTGAGACCAATGGTTTTTTACGAGACCCGTAAGATCAATTCTCAACTATTGGATTAGATCTACAATTTGATAATCTAAACATTAATAAACGCCACGAGACTTTTCAATAATTATAAAATTGCTATCGTGCAATTTAGACCATTAGATCATTAACTTATAAAGTTGATCAATGAACATAAATTGGTCTTACGGGTTTCACAAAAAACCTTTGGTCTTACGTGAACCCAACCCATATATATATATAAAAGGTATATTTCAAATGTAACCTATTGCGTTTGTATAATTAATGCAATCTAATCAATTAAGATATTTATGAAAATGATGAGAGTTCATTTATTATGATTTAAATATTTATGGAATATGAGTAAGATTTATTGATTATAATCGATATTTTATATTATGAAACAATCAAATCTTTTATGAAATCACATATTCATTAAATTAAATAGATGGTTGAGATTGAGTTGTACAAATGTAAAAGATTGTATAATAATATATTTCTCTCTCTCTATATAATTTTAATATTTTAATAAAAAAAGTGATAGAATTTTTTTTGATAGAATCAAACACTTTCCATCATATCATGTAAAAACGTTTTTCCTTTTTTGGCATGAGTAATATAATCAAATCAAATTAATGATATTGGTGGAAATCATCTTTATTAGATCTTTTCTTTATAAAAACACACACACACACACACACACACACACATATATATATATATATATACTTGAGATCATGTGAAAACAAGGATTTTTCGTGAGACTCGAAAGATCAATTCTCAACCCTTGCATTAAATCTATAATCTGAACATTCATAAACGTCACGAGACTTCTCAATAATCATAAAATTGTCACCGTATAATTTTAGACCATTAAATCATTAGCTTATAAAGTTGATCAATGAACATAAATTGTTCTTATGGGTCTCATGAAAAACATTTGGTCTAACGTGAACCCAACCCTATATATATATATATATATATATATATATATATATGCAAACAATCGTGTGAGAAATGAAATTATTGTAAGGAGAGATTTGAATCTTTGACCACTTTTAATCTTATGTGTACCAATGAATTATGTTTTAGAAATGAATTGATTCGATTTATCTCGGTGCATCTCACTGGTGTTGATATTCAATTGGGATTGATCAAAGGACGGAAATCTCTTCTTATGTTTTTTTTACCATAACTTCATTTCTCACAGGAACCCTCCTCTCTTTCTCCATACATGTATAATAACACACACACACACACTAGTTATGTACGCGCGTAATGTGGCGGGATGTAAATTGAAGAGAAAAATTTACCACAACTTAGTAGCTTATCAAATTTAAAATAAAGATGCAATTCCACCAACTAAAATTGAAAGTGAAGAAAAGCCTTTACATTTGACAATGATCGTAGTATTCAAGAAACACAATCTACAATGCTTACCATCTTTGAAAAAGAATACTTGTTACTAATCAAGAAACACAATTGATTTATTGAGACGGCACATACAACCAAAAAGGGTTATATGATGCTTCATAGCAGCGATCGATTGTTTTGGAAGATAAAAAACAAATTTAAAGAATTCAAAATTGCATCCACAAAGAATTTGAAGTTTTAATTTTAACACACAAAGTTAACCACTTTGGGTCCCCGTTTCTTCTTTGGTTTTATGTTCGATTCGTTAGAAGCAACATCCTCGGCTATTGGCTCAGAAGTCATCAAATCGTCCTCAAGATCATCATCGCTCACAAACTTAGTCACCTTCCCTCTCGTTATCGATTCAATTCCAGTTGCTATCATCCAATGTAACACATTCAAGTTAAGGATGATGATTTGTCCCGACCTAGTGTGGAACCTGGCTCACTCGACCCAGACGGGGATGGGGATTCCCCACTAAAACGGGTCTCGGGGCCAAGGATCCCCGGTATACTCAAACTAACAGATATTTTTCATAGGGTTTGACAGGGTTTTACCGGGGACGAGATGTTAATTTCCGTACCCGCCGGGGGCGGGGGCTGTTACTAAAAACTGGGCCCGGGGATTATGAAACTCGCCACATCCCCGCCCTGTTGCCATGCCTAATTCAAGTATCGAAGCAAATACCATATCAAACCAATAACTCCAAAATAGACTACAATTCTTTCCAATTGGTGAAGAAATCTTACATCTTTTGCAAGATTCAATGTACAATTTCATAGTATTTATTATACATAATAATATGATTAAATTCAAAAATATTCAATATTGGGCTCATTTTGAAGATATTGACCAAATTGTAATCTATAAAAAAAAACATATTTTTAGATAATATAAGCTTATGTATGCTAATAAAATAAGAGTGTAAATTGAAAAATAAAAAAATAAAAGATATAAAAGAAGTAACTAAAAGTGGAAGTACTACAAAAAGAAACATATTTTAATTAATATATGATTATGTACGTTAATAAAATAAAAAGAAGTAAGTGATATAAAATGTCTCATCATTAATAAAAGTGACTAATTTTGTGATAAAAATTATTTTTGAGGTATAAATTGTAAAGTTAAAAATGATAAAATTTGAGAAAATCAGGAGCTCTTTACTAAACGTTTATCCGGTAAGTACTTACTAGACAACTTTTCTTAACGGATGAACATGACAAGGGACAATAATCTTATCCGGTAAGAGCGATAATAAGAATAGAGAGTCTTACCCGGTAAGTGAGGATGACGACTCTTATCCAATAAAATAAATTATAGTGTTGACTCTTAACGGAAAGTGCTTACCAGATAAATATTTAGGTAAACGACCCTTAATTATTTGTGAGAAAGAGTAAAGGGTAGGAAGGAGGGGTATGTTTAGCAACAAATAGAAATAAGAGAAAAGTGTCACAAAATTATTTTGAAGATAAATTTGTTAAACTTTTCTAAGAAATTTCGTTGACTTTTTCATTTCTTGTGACAAATATATAGAATTATACCAAAAATGAATAATTGACATAAATATGCATTTATCAAATTAAATCAAATATTTTTTTTTAATATTTTAAGAACCGTACTTGATGTGAGAAGAATAATTAATGTGAGAAAAGTAAAAAGAGATTTCCACTCTTAGATGTATATTAGGATGAGATGCTCATGCACCGATCAATCCCCATATCACAAATTCATGGGTGAGTTTGATGTTAAAGATGATCAAGGGTCCAGATCCCTTCTTATACTTCTCACATTAACTTTCCTTCTCATACGATCTTTCACCTATATATATATATATATATATATTTATATATATATATATATATATAGAGAGAGAGAGAGAGAGAGAGAGAGTTAGGATCATGTGAGACCAAATTGTTTTCTTGGAACCATTTTTTTACACTTGAAACTTTACAACAAAACAATATAAATGTAACTTTCACAGTGTTCTCGATGTGAAGGTTTAGATTTTTTTTTACTTTCACAATATTTTGTTGTGATGTTTCAAGTGTAAAAATGCGGTCTAACTGGTTTCACAAAAACATGCTGGTGAGACCATATATTTACACTTGAAACTTTACAACAAAATATTGTGAAGGTAAAAAAAATCTAAACCTTCGCATCAAAAACACTGTGAAGGTTACCTTTATGGTGTTTTGGTGTGAAGTTTCAAGTGTAAAAAAATGGTCTTACGGGTCTCACGAAAGCAAACTGGTCTCACATGATCCAAAATCTCTCTCTCTCTCTCTCTCTATAATATATATATATATATATATATTAATTTATACATGTTTTTACAATTTTCAAAATATTTGTAGTTCTCTTTTGATACTTTCATTAGACCATTGCCTTAACATCTCGATTCTCCAAAATCCGAAATCATCAATACAAATTACATTCAACCCCAACAAGTTCTTCATTTTGAATATTACAACATTAATGATATCATTAAAAATATTACACACATTAAATAAAATATCATTTCTCTCTACTCAATATCAGGTTTCTTATTAGTAGGTATATAAATTTCACAATCCAACCACAAGGGTGGTGCCTGATTGATTTGAGCTTGACTCCAAAGGTCAAAAATACCAAGACGTCCCAGGTTCAAATCAAAGGAGGAATAAAACTCCCCTGGCCACGGATGTTCAAATGCGGTGACTCCGGGCTATCTGTAAAGCAGGTGGTTGCCCTAGGATTAGTCGTCTTACATAACGGGTTGGATATCGAGGTTAATAAAAAAAATAAAAAAATAAAATAAAATTCACAATCACCCTTCTAATTTCACATCCAGGTTCCTTGCAACCAAAGAGAAAAGGCAAGGAAAAAGATCAAGATTGGCCAAACTTCCTATAAATACCAATTCAATCTTGCGATCTCATATAACGGAAATGGAAATGGAAATGGAAATGGAAATGGAGGTGAAAGCAGTGGAAACCATGGTGATTCAGAAGCTCACACAATTCATGAATCAAGAATCTGCAGCCAATCACAAACTAATCACGCATCAACTACAAAACTCGCTCAAGAACCTGCAAAACTTCTCACAACAAAACGACATTTCAGAAGCGGACCATCTTCAAGTCGTTTACGAGTTCGAGAACGAGATTGAGAGATTCGCCTTCCGAGTTGCTCGACACAAGAAGAAGAGGTTTGGTTTCTTGTTGAAACAAACATTCTCCTTCAACAATCTCAACTCCTGTCGTAGCCTAACAATGGCGATCAAGAAATGCCAGACCAAGATTCGCACTCCTTCTGAAGATGATACCATCAGTTCATCCTCAGCTGTTTGGCCAATTCCAAAACCCCCAACTCCTCAATGCCATTTTTTGACTGAATCATTCGACTCGAAGCTTTGCCTGCTATACCTGACTCTTTTCCCAAAAGATTTCAACATCCCAGTAAGAAGGTTGCTCAGACTATGGCTTGCCGAGGGAATTGTGCAGACAAGTTCCACACACAAGTTCTTCCCAGAGGATTTGGCACAGAAACATTTCCAAGACTTGGTTGATCGGGGTATGATTGAGATAACCAAGTTCAGGTCCGACAACAGCCCTAAACAATGTCGTTTGGTTTCTGTTCTTCACGACAACCTGTCGCCAAAAGCCCAGGATATCAGCCTGTTCTACATCCAACGCGATTTGGAATCTGAGGATGTTACAGGTCACTTTGGCATACGTCGACTGGTTCACCACATGGTTACTGAAATGGGCACTTCACATTCCAAGAGTTTCAACTTCGACCCATCTCTTTTGAGGTCTTACGTGTCCTTTAACCCCCCACGAAAGGACATGCCAGCAAAAGAAGTAGGCATTCTTTTGGGTAGAATCATTAACAGCCACTTTTGCTTATTGAGGGTGCTTGATCTAGAGGGTGTGAACAAGCCTACTCTCCCCGATAAGCTTGGCCACTTGCGTCTCTTGAGGTACCTGGGACTGAGACGAACATACCTACAGAGGCTCCCAGAATCTGTAGGTGACCTAACTTATCTAGAAACACTAGATGTGAAGCACACTTGTGTAGACAGCCTACCCAACTCCATTTGGAAGCTCAAACAGCTTCGTTATCTCAATCTGAATAACATTCGTCTTGCCATGCCACCTAGCAGTTCTTCAACTCTCCTCACCCTATGGGGACTGGTTCTAGACGAGAAGATATCAGTGAATGAGAGTCTGGGCAAGTTGCTTGCTCTAAGAGAGTTGGGTATTAAGTTCAACTTAAACACAAGCCAAGATGTTCTGCTTGAATGGATTGCAAAGCTGGTCAATCTTCAGTCTTTGAGGTTGATCTCCATAAATGACCAGAATCTGCCATCGGAGCTAGTTTTGAAGCCACTAGTGAACTTGGACAAACTTTCTAATCTTAATCTGTATGGTACTTTACAAAGATTACCCCCTCCAAATGAATTCCCACCAACAATCAAGGTTCTCACCTTGTCAATTTCTCAGCTGAGAGTGGATCCAATGGAGACCCTGGAACAACTACCTTTCCTGATTGTGTTGAGGCTCTTGGCCAGCTCATTCACAGGAGCAAGAATGGCTTGCCATCGAGGAGGGTTTAAAAAGCTTGAGGTTTTGAAGCTGTGGAGGCTGATGGAGTTGGAGGAATGGGATGTAGAGGAAGAAGCAATGGAGAGCCTCAAAGAGTTAGACATCAGATGCTGCCATGAGCTGAACAATATCCCTTGTCGATTGCTGCAGAAACGGAGATGCCTGGAGAAATTAACATTGACAGACATGCCCGATGACTTTGTGGCCCGGACCAAGAAAAGAAAATCTAAGGACACGGCTCTCACGATCAAACCTGGAGAATTTCCTCCCTACCCTGTAAGTTCTGATGGCGTTTCCAGGTTTATGCAGCCCATGTAAGCCGGCGCCAATCTTGCATTAAGCTCAAACCTGCGATCATGAGGTGTTAAGCACCCGTTAGCTGTTCAATACGGATTCTTTCATTGTGCATACGTCTTCTCGAAGCTCTTGTATTCTGTTACTACTGTTTCTTGTACATTCACATTCCAGATGTATGATTGTTTTTCAGTATGTGGTTTTATAGTTAAAGCAGAAGTATTCTTTCTGATGCATTCATGGCTACTCGGAAGGAATGTTAAACAAGAAGCAAGTTGCCAACACTCCACTAATTACACAGCTTGCAGAGCGTAAGTTAACCAACATTCGTAATAGACTACTGCTAAAACATAGGAGTCTGTAAGATTTGATATCAAACAGACATGTCCAAAGTTGAAGTAGCATAACCCAGTTGCACCTAACCATGGGAAGAAATGCTTCAAGTACACGTGAGAGACGTAATATTCAGAGAGGAGGTTCGGGAGGGGCAAGGGTCAATCTTTTTAAATGACTAAAAATGAGACTGAGGCAACTCCAGACGTGGTAACATGTACATTTCTGGTTAACTCCGTATATGCTAAAGTGCGGTTTGATTACCGGTAAAATTTAACACTATTATTTACTTACCGGGTAAGATTTTAGTCCACCAAAATGACATCGTATGTAACAACCACGTAAGCGTTTACCGTGGTAAGAGTCGTGGCCTTCACTTATGGGGTAAGACTCATTGTCCTTGTCTTGCTCTTAACCGGGTAAGATTTTAGTCTACCAAAATGACATCGTATGTAACAATTTACCAGGTAAGCGTTTACCAGTGGTAAAATTCGTCGCCCTTACTTATAGGGTAGGACTCATAATCCTTGTCTCGCTTTTACCGGGTAAGATTTTTGGTACTTACCATATTCATCCGGTGAGATAACGTGACTTGGTAAATCACAATATCTATCAGTATTTACCTTAGTAGCTAGTTTATACTATACATGACTACTTTATCATCTAGTTCGCCAAATGTATCTAGAGTTTAGAGTATTTTTCTTATTTTTTTCAAAATTTCAGTTTGAAATGCGAAGAAGTTGCATGTGTAACCTGTTGGAAATTTTAGTGGGCCGGAAGTTTGTCTTCCATCCCACATTGGCAAACAAAGAATTTCTAGAGAAAGCCTTATAGCATTTGGTTTTCGTATCCCCAACGTTGAAAACTCAACCTTTATTCTTTTTTGGCAATAAGAGAATGTAGGGATATAAACAAATTGAGCATACAACGAATCTTTCGATGCTGAGAGTTCGTTTATGTTGGTTTATTTAATAAATGAACGAACATGAATACAGACTCATTTTTTGTTCGTTTAGTTAAATGAACGAACATGAACAATGGTTTCGTTCATTCATTTATGTTTGTTTATGTATAAACATATTTATGTATTATGACATTAATATGTGAAATCGTTGATTAAATTAAATCTTTATAATTACTTTTTATCTTTCCTATTTACTTGGTTTCATTCTGTTATGCTATTTTTTAGGAACTAAATGATGAATAATGGTGCTTGTTTTTAGTATATGTGTCCTTGTCTGTTTATGTTCGTTCGTTTACTTTTATTTATGTTCATTTTGCTTTAAGGGTTTGTTTACTAAATGTTTATCTATACTATATTATAAAGCATTTGACAAAAACTATTAAAAACCACTTTTTATGCGTAAAATATTGTTTATTAATGCATATTACTTAAAACTCAAGATTGCAACTAGATTGTGCATAAGTACAACTTATTCAAGCTCCATATCTGAATTCGTATAACTAACTGCGGATAAACATAATCAAATACATGATAAACATCTCATTTTAAATATAAAAAATCTAAAATATAATTAAGATAATTATTGAATTCTAACAGAATACTTAATTATTATCTTTATAAAATTTATAATACTAAACCAAAAATAATTATTTCATTATTAAATTTAAATTAAATTATAATAAAAAAATAAATTAAAGCAATTACATAAAAATGAGAACTTTTAAATAGTTGATTTGATATTAACATTGATATCTTCAAATTTATATTTTATTCAAAATTAAAATCATTATTGTTTTCTTAAAAAACACATAATCTATATCTATACTATATTATAAAGCATTTGACAAAAACTCTTAAAACCCATTTTTTATGCATGAAGTACTGTTTATTGATGCATATTACTTGAAATTCAAGATTACAAATGATTTTACGTAAGTACAACTTATTGAAGCTTCATTTTTAAATTCGTGTAACTAACTGCAGATAAACATAATCAAATATAAGATAAATATCTATTTTAAATATATAAAATATAAAATATAATTAAGATAATAATTGAGTTTCTAACTGAATGTTTAATTATTATCTTTAATAAAAATTATATTATTAAACCAAAAATAAATTACTTTGTTATTAGACATAAATTAAATTATAAAAAATTGAATTAAAGAAGTTATACAAAAAAACGAGAACTATTAAATAGTTAGTTTAATACTAATATTGATTTTATTTTTTTTAAATTTTTTATGCTATTTTCAAATGTATATCTTATTCAAAAATAAAAACAATACAATTTTCTTAAAACCACATAAAATCGTATTATATCGATAAGGACAAATAATAAAAACTAAACATCAAAATGAAAATTTATCTTGCTGCATTGCGCGGATACCCTTCTAGTCTTACAAAAGGAGTATGGTAAGGATCATGAATAATACCTGGTAAGAAGCATAACAAAGACCGATAATCTTACTCGACAAATGAGGGGAAAAACCTATTACCCAATAAACACTTACCAAGTAAAAGACGCTTAGAAACAATCCATTTTGATGAACAAAAATGTTACCCGTTAAATTAAAATGAGGATGACGATTCTTATCGACAATCGTTTTCTTTGTAAGCATTTGGTGAATAGTCTCCAATTTTCAAATCAAAATCTCCGTTGTTTTGTTATAAATTTGACGGTGGTTTTTAATAGTCATCAAAGGAACAAAAGAATTATGGAAGAATTTACATGAAACTACCTTAGACTTTCTTTGAAATTACGAAAGCATTAATTTTGATTTAATATTTAAATGAAAAGATAGAAAACTAAAATTCATTAAAAAAAAACATTTAAAATTTACTGGTGTGGATGCTCACGACTTTTCACATGAAAACTTATTTGGTATTTTGGATTGGAGTATTCAGTGAAGTTATTGATATTTTATATGGGGTAAATTGTATAAAAATGTAAGTATTTTTAACTTAATTTATATTTTAAATAACATACTTTTAAAACTTTTATTTTGGTATCTAAAATGTAAAATTTTAAACATTTAAGTATCCAGTTAAAACATTAACTGGTTACTATGCTGATATGGCGAGTGATGGGTAGGGATGGTGATTTGCCCCGATCTGGTGGGGAACCTGATTCACCCGACCCGAACGAGGATTCCCCACTAAAATGGGTCCTGGGGCCGGGGATTCCCGATAGACTCAAACCGAGGACGAGGATCACAGTAGAATCAAACTAAATGATACTATTTATGGGGTTTGACTAGGGATTTACCGGGTTTAAAACCGGGGATTGCTAGAGATTTGACCGGTCCCCGCCGGGGATTACAAAATCCGCCCCATCCCCGCACCGTTGCCATGCCTAGTGATGAGATGAAATTGGGTTAAGTGGCAAATAATACTTAGTTGGATACCATATCAACATGATAAACGGTTACCCGAGTACTTAAATCATTAAAACTTCACATCTTAGGTACTACGATGAAAGTTTTGAAAATATGTTACCCAAGATAGGAATCAAGTTAAAGTACGTTACTTTTCCATGTAATTTGCCCATATACATATATTTTGATTGAATCTTATATTATTAAATATCACAAATACACACTAATTATTTTTAAAACTTACATTTTCTACCTTTATAGTCATTTACTTAATTTGTAATTATAAAAGTATAAAACACAATCATTAAAATAATTCGTAAGTTTTATAATATTTAATAATATAAGATTCAATTTAAAAAATATTAAATATTAGGCTCATTTTAAATATATTGATGAGACGATTATAATAATATAATTTATAAAAAAAAGAAACATATTTTTTTTATGTATTTTAATTAATATATGATTATAAAAGTAAGAGATATAATGTAAATTAAAATTATAAAAGTGTAAAGTGTAAAAATAAGAGAGTTTAGACATAGTAAACTATTTTTACACTTTTTACCCTTTATAATTAATCATATATTTTTACACTAAAATAAATAAAAAATATGTATCCATTTTTTACAAATTACACTATTATAATCATCTCATTTATAATTCGTAAACTTTATAACATTTAATAACATAAGATTAAATCCAAAAATATTCAATATCATGCTTATTTTAAACGTATTTACGAGACGATTATAACAATGTAATTTGTAAAAAAAACATAAATTTTCATATATTTTAGTTAATATACGATTATATGTATTAATATAAGAAATGTGTAAAATAAAAAAACAAGATATAAAGTAAATTAAATAATTAATTATAAGAGTGTAAGTTATAATTTTTTCTACTGGATTACATATTTGAAATAACTTATGCTTTTATACAAAAACACTTATCTAACTTATTATAATCCAAAAGGGTTTAACTTCTTCAAAAATTCTTATTACCGGTTTGGCACCAGTATAAGTTGTTCATCCAAACACTTAAAAATGTTTATTACCGGTACCATAATAAGTTAATAAATTATTTTTATAAACAATCTCAAACACCTATTAGATTGGAACTGTTATTTCCTAAATAACTATTTATGTAAATTTCCACATATTGTCAAGAGATAGCCAAATGGAAAGTACAAAGTACTTTCTCAAGTGTGCATTTCTTAGAGTAATTTACTTGACTAAGACTCAAACAAGAAGTTTCCTTGCAACCAAACGGAAAACGCATGGATTTTTTTTAAAAAAGCTCAGAAAAGACCAAGACTCCGTTTAGAATAATCTATATAAATAGAGACCAAAACAATCTAAAAATGGGATACAAACTGATACCCAGATCACGACTTAACTTCAAAGACAGTAAACAGTTTTGATTGAGTTGTGTGTCTGAAACAGAAAATGGAGGTGAAGCCGGTGGTGGCAGTGGTGACACAGAAGCTGACAGATACGCTGAATGATGAATCAGTAGCTGATAACAAAGTTATGATGCATCAACTGAAAGGGGTTCAGAAGTCTCTTGGGAAGCTGCAAAGCTTCTCCAAAGAAGATGACGTTTGTGATGCATCCCAGAGGACAAAAGACCATCTTCATGTGGTCTATCAGATCGAGGATGAAGTTGAAAAGTTCACCTTCACAGTTGCTCGACAGAGAAAGATATTTGGTTTCTTAATGAAACATACATTCTTCTTCAATAATCTCAATTCTTGTAGTAGGCTAAAACGGAAAATAAAGAAAATCCAGTTAAGTATTTCCGGTTCAGCTGAAGATGTCATTACTCCGTCCTCGGCTTCTAGGGGTAATCGATGGGAGCAACGTAACTCTCCCACAAGCAGTTCTGATGAAGAAGATTGTAACGATGATGATGATGGAGGTTTCTACGATGAAACACATGTGCTGACACAAAAGAGCTCATCGTCTGTTTGGCCGATTTCGGAAATCCCAAGCACCCCGAGTCCTACTCGGGGGGTTTTGACTCGATCATTCACCATGATCCCACATCTTCAGGAGAATGTGCAACAACGCAAGAAGCTAACGTTCAGCTATTCTTATAATGAAGAAGAGATGGATATTGTAGGTTTCAGAGAAGAGCGTCTTCAGCACCCAAAACAGATGTCGAATTTCTCTTACCAAGAAGAAGATCTGGGCCTTTTCGGGCTGAATGATGATATCAAGAGCCTAGTGAATCGGCTTACGGAAAAGTCTGTTTGTAGACTTAATTATGATTTCAAAAATCCAGTGAAACAACGACGGGGAATGTTTATCCCAATTGTTGGTGAGGTGGGTTCTGGAAAGACCACCCTTGCTCGTGCAGTCTATAGAAACAGAAAGATCAAGGATCACTTTGAATTTCATGATTGGATTTCCGTGATGGAAGAGTATACTGCAGAAAGGATCTTGCTCAGCATGTCGAAGAAGGTCATTACGGAAAAGGATAATGGACCAATGAGCCCAAAGGATCAAGAACTAAAAAGCAGAGTCTTTAACCACCTCAAGGGTAAGAGGTACCTGATTGTGCTGGATGGTGTTGGGAATTCTGGTCTGGTGGAAAATCTGAAAGACGCCTTCCCAGATGAAAATAACGGAAGTAAGGTACTTTTCACATCTCGTGAAGTTCGGAGATGTCCAGGTCAGCATATTATGGATCAGCTAAGCGAAGAGAAAAGCTGGAATATGTTTCTGAAAGAGGCTGGAAAGGAAAAGAAGGCTGATAAAATCGAACTGAGGTTGAAATATAGGATCTTGGAAATATGCAGAGGTCTGCCTCTCAATATTGTCCTAGTTGGTGCACTGCTCTCGACTAAGAGAGTAACTAGATGGTCCTCGGCAATTTCTCGTGGCAATTGTTCTGATGAAGTTCTGTCCCTCTGTTATAACGACCTGACCACCCACTTAAAGCTTTGCCTGTTATACCTGACTCTTTTCCCAAAAGATTATGACATTCCAGTACGGAGGCTGCTGAGGCTATGGCTTGCCGAGGGGTTTGTGATGAGAAGATCCCAACAGCCATTTCCTGAGGATTTGGTACAGAAATATTTCGAAGAATTGGTTCAAAGAAGTATGATTCAGATAACCAAACTGAGGTCCGACAACAGCCCTAGACACTGTCGTTTAGTTTCTGTTCTTCATGACTATCTGCTGCCAAGAGCCCAGGATATCAGCCTTTTCTACATCCACCGCAATTTGGAGCACAGTGAAGATGCTGCAAGTCCCTTTGGTGTACGTCGGATGGTTCAGCACATGAGCACCACTGGAGCCCTGACCACCAACACAAGGGGACGTGCCATTATCTCTTCTGCAAGTTCCCTTTCTTGTGGCTGTTTGAGTTGTCGAGAAGACACACCTACTGATATGGCTACTTCACATTCTATCCCTCCAGATCTCCAGCAATCACAGGTTCAGAATTCTACTTTTGACCCTTCTCTTGTGAGGTCTTATGTGTCCTTTAACTTCCAACGCAAGGACATGCCAGCGAGAGAAGTAGGTATGTTTTTGGGTAGAATCATCAACAGTGACTTTCGGTTATTGAGGGTGCTTGATCTAGAGGGTGTGAACAAACCTACTCTCCCGGATAAGCTTGGCCATTTGCGTCTTTTGAGGTACCTGGGACTGAGACGAACATACTTGGAGAGTCTACCTGAATCAGTGGGCGACCTATCTTATCTAGAAACGCTAGATGTAAAGCACACTCGTGTAGATAGTCTACCTGACTCCATTTGGAAGCTCAAACAGCTTCGTCATCTCAATCTGAATAACATTCGACTTGCCATGCCACCTAGCAGTTCTTTAACTCTCCTCACCCTATGGGGATTGGTTTTAGATGAGAAGATAAAACCAAATGAAGGTTTGGGCAAGTTGCTTGATCTTAGAGAGTTGGGTATTAAGTTCAACTTAAGCACAAGCCAAGGTGTTTTGCTTGACTGGGTTGCTAAGTTAGAAAATCTTCAGTCTTTGCGGTTGACATCCGTAGATGAGATGGGTCGCCCTTCGAAGCTAGTTTTGAAGCCACTAGTGAACTTGGACAAACTTTCTCATCTTAATCTGTATGGTCACTTACAAAGATTACCCTATCCAAAGGAATTCCCGCCAACAGTTAAGGTTCTCACCTTATCAATTTCTCAGCTAAGCATGGATCCAATGGAGACCCTGGAACAACTACCTTGTCTGATTGTGTTGAGGCTCTTGGCCAAGTCATTCACAGCAGAAAGAATGGCTTGCCATCGAGGAGGATTTAAAAAACTTCGGGTTTTGAAGCTGTGGATGCTGATGGAGTTGGAGGAATGGGATGTAGAGGAAGAAGCAATGGAGAGCCTCAAAGAATTAGACATCAGATGCTGCCATAAGTTGAACAATATCCCTTGTAGACTACTGCAAAAACAGAAATGCCTGGAGGAATTAATACTGACAGACATGCCCGATGAATTTGTAGCCCAGACCAAGAGAAAGAAATCCAAGGACACTTCTCTCACAATCAACCCTTGGAAATTTGCTCCCTAGGCTGTAAGTTCTTCCATCTTACTTCATTGATCTAGCTTCAAAAGTCTCGCTATTTATGTTTTTTTAGAGTTTAATCTTTGTTTTCTATGACATAACAAAATAATGCTTCTTGAGGCAGAGGTACCTGAAGTGTTTTTGATGGCCTTTCCTCTTTTATTGCAGCTCACGTAAGCCAGTCTTGCATTAGTTAGAAAGCTCAAACCTGCCATCATGAAGTGCTAAAACTCGTTAGTTATTCAGCAGAAATATTCATTGTGCATACATCTTCTCGAAGCTCTCGTGTTTTGTTACTGTTTCTAGTCCTTTTACATTCCGGATGTATGATAGTTCCAATCTGTGGTTTTATAGTTCAACCAAATTGTTTGTACTAATGAATCCATGGCTACTCCGAAGGAAAGTTAAACAAGAAGCAAATTGTCTTTATTTGTAAAATTATTCATCTTTTTCACATGTTTGTTAAAATTCTCTGGTTGAAACACCTCTAAATTTGGAACACAAGGAGTAATTCAGTTCCCTAATGAAATCAACTACCTATCTAAGTGGACTAGCTGACTTCTCTATTGCATAACACCTTCTCACCTGAATTCAATAATCACAGCTAAGCGGCCACATTGTACCAATTACACAGTCTGCACTTCTATCAAACGTAGGGAATCAAGATGAAGGTTCAAAAGGGTAACCATAATGATAGCAGGAGCATGGAGTTCATGACAGCAAATAGACCACAGTAGAGGCAACCAGCTGCAGAATGTTCTGATGGCGAAGAGAGGGAGAGAAGGAAATCAAACCAAACTTACCTAGAACATCCCACTCAGAAGCAGGGTTAGGGGATGGTAAGATATATGAATACCAGATCTCCACTGCTGCTGTGGAGAGCCCAGGTTGTAAAAGGTTTAGGGAAGTTGGAGAAATTTAGAAAAGGTGTTCGAAAGTCCGGGACATTAGAAATTTTTGTACGATAAAGGGACTGCAAAATGCATCGGAGTTAAAAAGCTTAAAAGAGTTTGGAAATGAAAACTGTGTAAAAGAAGTACAATCTCACACTTGTAACATAAAAAAGGTATAGCTAAAAAGAGCAAAAGAATATCAAACCAACCCACCCTCTACTCCTCCCCAAACTTTGTAGCTAAAAGTCCCCTATAGAGGAGAGGATCTGCAAGCCTAATCCATTAGAGGTCATGTTCTCGGAAAGGCCTTAGATCATCATTTCCAGCTGAAAGTGGTAATGCCACATTCTCCTCGGCCTGCCTCTCCTCCTCACTCCCTGACCAATAAGGTCTCCATCCTTCTCACCGATGCCATCATCTATCTCCTGTGAGGCTGTGAACGTGCCCAAAACACCACATGAGTCTATTATGGAAGTTATATTTTGATCCCCTACATATTATGGAATATGGCACTTATGCTTTTTAAAGGAAAAAAACGTATCAAACAATTACGATACAATTTATCTCGCATATATCCAAAGTGCAATATCCTTCACATGGTACAATTGTATCATGCATAGGTCGATTAAGTGCTCACGAGCATTTGTACACCAACTAATGCGGATAATTTGTGCCCTGTTTTTAACAAAAATTGTCTGAGAGGCTACTATTTATGAATTAATTAAAATAATTACAATTACTATGAATCTACTGGAAGGTAATTAACTGTCCTCGAGCTGATTCTGATTGTAATTTCAAAAATATAACTGCTATTGCACCTATCTTATCAGATTTTCCATCTCATAAAAGAATAACCATATTGGATGTCGCCTAGCAATAAACAATTGGAGCTTAAAACTTTTATGAATAGAAAGAATGCTTTTCAATAGTTTTAGGAATTGAAATATTGATGTAAAAATTCTTTAACTAGCTTTACAAATTCATTGATGTATAATGTATTGTATCATACAATTGTTAAACACATCTTGAACATGTTTCTAACACCAAAATATTCATACCCTGCCCAATTTAGCATTCAAGATTGACCAAATTGAATTTACATCAAATTGAAATTGTATAGTTATCCCTCCTATCTACATTCGGACATCCTCGGATTTTTGAAATAGATTGTAGCACCATCTTACAGAAGAAGTTTATTTTACAAATTTATAAAACCTACCAAATAATTCAGTTTTTCCATTTGGTAAATAAAAATTGGCAGAGGGAAAAACTATCTAATTTTTGAAAATGCAGAACAACTTGCAAACAATATGCTCGAACAAAAAGATTCATCAATTACATACTTGTAGTCTCATAATCATGTCAATATTTTTGTCCAACTTTAACCAATATCCTAACATATATAATCAATATCCATTTTGAGATATTAGCATATTCTTCGTCAAATTGGTCCTTCACATCGTCTTATTGTCCCACATTGACATTTGATTAGTTAATTTGATGAAAATGATATTACTATGAAAGTAAATGTACGTGACTGATGATGTTTTTGTTTTAGAATATGTAAATAGAAATAATATGGAAGTGCGGTAACTTCTTTCTCTATTTTGTCTAATGTTAAAATATGGAATGAACAATTTTTCAAGAGATTACCTTAAAAATATACTCATGTATCTAAGAAAGACTATAACATTTAATTAGAAACATAGTTTAACAAAAAGAAAAGTTCAGAAATCATACTTGGACCAACTACCCAACAACCTACAGTTCTAATGCAACAACTTTGATTTTACACTTTCAATTGTCTTATAAATAATCTCTTGATAGATCGACCCCTTAACAGTCTTATAAAAATACTCATGTATCTAAGAAAAACTATAGCATGACTTTCTAACTCTGAAAACATATGTAAATGTATGCTAAACTTCATCTAGGAGAGATCGATCGAAGATGGGATGGATATGGGTTATTCTGACTGAGGGCAAGATGGATATGAAATAGGCAGTGAAAACATAGTGGATATAGGTGACGACGTATAGGTGCATGATGAATAAAAGAGAATGATCCTTACCCTTATTCACCCATTATTAATCTTCAATTTCACCTTCCATTAATCTGAGGTTCTTGTACCTTCTGAGTTTTGACCACAATTTAGGACAAGAAGTAGAAGGCGATACACAGTTTTTCGTCGTCTTTATAAAATCAATCTAACTGAAGATGGGACTACAATTAACTGATGTGAAAAGGAAATAAAGATGGGACCCACATAATGGAAAAAGAACACAGAAAAATATCATAGTTGAAAAGTTACCTCATACCATTTGAGCGGGAAGATTCACATGTTGAGTAGGGCCAACTATGAAATGCTAAATTTCTTCCATCGAGGTTTGTCATGCACCCACCTAGGCCCTAGCCCGTCCAGGCGTTTATTATTCTAGAATGGTTAAGTATGTTCTTGGGAGAGTTCTGGCCTCTTGAATAGCCGGTAACCATTTGTTTTCACAACTGAATTCCATCAGCACCTTTGATGATTTCAGCTTCTCTTTTAGAGTTTGATTGATTCTGTCCAGTTCTTAACAAGGCACGTCTTCAATGGCTGCTGATCTAACATCAATATTTGAATGTCCGGCAGCACCATTCTTAGCTGTAGAAGTAGGGAACTGCAGCATCATTTTTGAACCACTTGCTGCTTCCTGTTTATCTTCCTCGCATACCAGTATACCAAACGGTTTCACATTGAGTACAGACAACTATGAAATGCGAAATTTCTTCCATGGAGGCTCATCTTCAGTGGCTGCTGATCTAACATCAAGATTTGAATGGCCGGCAGCACCATTCTCAGATGTAAATGTAGGGAACCATAGCATCGTTTTTGAACCACTTGCTGTTTCTTGTTCATCTTCCTCCCATACCAGTATCACACCGCATTGTTTCACCTTACAGTTGATGCCAATGCATTTTAATGAAACGATAATGTGATTTTTTATTTTCTTCCATTTGGGGTCAGATTTCCTGTAAGACAACCATATCTGATCTGACTCAATATTTGGATCATCGGTTGCCAAAAGGGAAACGTCACTGATGACAGCACCACAGGAGTCTTTGATGGTACAGAAGATCTCAAAATATGTACTTCGGCTACCAGTGTTTTCGGGAGTAATAACAGCACAAGTAACCAATCCCTTTAACTTTTTGTAGCACCAATGAGGCGGTAAGTCCACCATTATGCAATCTCCCATACTTTGATTGCTAAACCACCGTGGAATTCTACTTCCTGGAAGAAATATATGAACCTCTTCGAATATATCAATCCATCCCTGTCCAATGAAAATTAACTCTCTGTTAGTAGTCACTTCCTGTCATGCCCAGAGACTAGGATAGGAAAATAACGAAACAATCACACTGCCTCTCTCTTTGAAGTTCATAGCTTAAGCCTATTGTACAGAAGTTCAGTATATGCACGTTCAATTTGTTTCTTCTAATATGAACCGTTTATTGTAGGTATGGCACTGAGGCAGGTTTCGTTGGCCCCCTGCTTCACCCTCCCCCCCCCCCCCCCTCTTCTCCTTGTACGGGCTGGATATGCATGTTGAAAAACGAGTTCATAGTGGAACTGAAGATGATTCTAGGGACCTGGATTATATGAAGTCTTGTCAAGGAAACCTCATATCCACCAAAATATCATCATTTTACTAAGATACCTTAGATGCATTTGCAAACTTTGCCTGCATTCTTACGTAGCGAGTCCCAACTGCTCTAATGGAAGTGACAAGTGAGAGGGTGCACTGTATCTAACGGTTCTCACGAAAATGAAGCCAAATCAAAGTATTTGTAGTTCCTTGTCCTGGTGTTGAATTAACTAGATTTTTCTTTTCTGTTTAATTAATATATTGTAACATTTAAACTTTATAACTTCAACTCATATTTAAGTTCAAATGTGTGCTGAAGTTTCATAGAGCCAAAACACCACAGCGAGGATATGTTGGGGGGGGGGGTAATTGAGGAGGTCGATGTCAGGTAACAGGGAAGTGAACGCAAGAGAAATATAGATGAATGTCCCCGCATGTCTACCCTATTGCAATCCCTAGTTTTACTTTAGATGTTTAGAACATCAATCACTACTGGATAAGACTTGTGATTCCATTCCAATCGCCAACTAAAATGCATCTATCAGGTACTAAATTTCATCATTACGTTAGAAAGTATGACACAGAAATGAAGATATCAGGTAATCTTATATTTGGGCTAAAAATTCAGTTAAAAGTACAATCAAATGGGTTGCTAATAAGATCAACATTCTAAAATGTGTATATGTGTGTAACATCATTGTTTAAGATATGCATGTGTGCATGTGTACAGAGAGAGAGAGAGAACCTGTGGCAACAACACCATAACAAGGCTCTCGATGGTCTGTTTCTCGACCACTTTTGGACAATTCTTAAAATCGAAGACAGAACTGCTAGCATTGTACATGGTTGATAGCTTTGGTAGTTCCTGGAGTGAAGTGCAATGCTGTGCATCAAGGTTACGGATGGAAGAAGGAAGTTTTGGTAGAACCTGAAGCTTCTTACAACCAATCAGTCGTAGACATGAAAGTCGAGAGAGGGAACTGAAGTTTGCATCTATGCTTGTGAAATCATTTCCATTCAGATCTAACTCTTCAAGCGAACACAAAGTTTCAAGGTTATGTAGGCTAGCACCTGATAGATTGCAATGGCTAACATCCAAAACTCTTAGTGAACCTAAAGTTGACAAAGAAGGCAACACCACAGCCGGGGGATGATGGAATTTTCTTAACAATGATGAAAGAGAAAAGAATGAATGCCATGATTTAGTTTGGATAGCTTCACATCGTCCTAATGAAAGCACTTCAAGGTTGCTAAAAGAAAATAGCAATGCAGGGACTATCTTTATGGCAGTTCCATCAAGACGAAGTTCCACTAGAGCTTTAATCTTATGCAGGTCCTCTGGCAATTTTTGCATTTTTGAGCAATCAGAGAGGATGAGATGTTTAAGTGATTCCATTTCAGTTATATTGGGGAAAATCTTAAGGTTTTTGCAGTTTTTCAAATTTAAGAGAATGAGCAGCTTCAGAGTTCCGACTGATGGGTGGACTTCAACCAAATTTTCACAACCATCAAGTATTAGCTCTTTGAGATTTGGAGTTTCTGTGAAGTCTGGTGTCTTTCTTAAGTTGCGACAATGACTGAGCTTCAATAGTGTCAACTTTTTGAAACCCTGTTTATAAAGATGAAAGAGAAATGAATCGGATCAATTATTGTAATGGACAACAAAGAACCAATGTATACATACATACATACACACACACAGAGAGATGAAGAACAACGTGATTACCTTTGATCCGCTCCAGATTTGTTTGATGCAACTATATGACATATCAAGGACAAGGAGGCTCTCAGGGAAGAACATTGATGGTAAATACTGAAAAGGGTACCCATGCCAACAAAGCAACTGTAGTTCATTGGACAAAAATTCAAGCTTTCCAGTAGTGCTCACCTTAGTCTCTTTCCCCAATTCAGTTCTGCATTTTATGCCATTAGTGTCTCTAAAGTTACTCAAGGCCCCAATATATATGTGTAGTAGCCGAAGATTTTTCAACTTTGTGAAGCTTTGACAACAGATATTGACTTCTKAACATGAAAGGTCTAGTGACAGGCCTTTAACCAATTCAGTTCCCTGGAAAGAAGAGAAGGCATTACATATAACATTGAAAAGGAATTACATTTACATGAAGCAAGTTGTTTGTGTGAAAGAAATGTGAATACATACATGTTGGGACTTTGTACAACTCAGACCACCCGTGCCCCAGGGACCATACTCGACTACATCCACATCTGTTTCCGTTTGACTTGGGTAAATAATAACAATGAGAGTCGACTTATTTTCTTGCTTAACAGATTATAAATTTTGACCTCGACTCATAAAAGTTATTCCACTTGATTGGCTCAAATCAAGTAATTAAACCCGTCTGAGTATCACATCCAAATAAACCTACAGGTACGCTCTTAACTATCCATTTGACTCGGATCATTGGTATTCTTGGGAATTAAACTTGATAGGTATTGACTCGACACATACCAACTTGAGCTTACTAACTTACGTCTCAAGATACATGCACACTTAAATGACTTCTATGTTTATGGTTGCAGAGAAAGGGCATAGAGAGTAACGTACACCATGTACCTTATCGTTTTTCATTACATAGCACACATCTGTTGGACACCACAATCTACTCCGTTTCCCGAGTTCTTCAGATTCTTCACGTACTATTTGCCAACCCATTTCTTGGACCAGATTATGCATCTGTATCCTATCTTCACATATAGTTATTAGAGACTTATCAGCTAGAACTCTGAGATTAGTTGCATAAAATAATTCACAGCCATCCAGTATATGCTGCACATAATCTTTCTTTTCTCCTTTGAAGAAACATGCAATATCAAGAAAAATGTTCTTTTGATCAGCATCTAGCCCATCATAACTTACTTGGAGCGCTTTCTGGATAAGAACATGAGGATTACTTTGAAGTTTATCTATCTCACTTCCCCATTCGTTTAGAGTCTTGTTGAACAGAATACGACCAAAAACTTTTAGAGCAAGGGGGAGTCCATTAACATAGTGAAGTATCCTGCTAACATGTTCAAAAAATTCGTCCTGCGGATGTTTATCTCTAAAGGCATATATACTAAACAACTCAAGAGCTTCATGTTCATTCAAAAGGTCGATCGTATAAATCGGTTCTACTTTATAAGCACTGAGCAACTGTCTATCTCTGCTGGTTACCACAATCATACTTCCAGGACTAAACCAATCAGGATTGCCTGCTAGAGCTTCAAATTGGTTGTAATGATCCACGTCATCGAGTACAACGAGGATCTTTTTACCCGGCATCCTTTTCTTCATTGTGCATATCCCTTCGCCAACACTCCGTACTTTTAGACTCCCGTCTTTCATAATATCATCAAGAAGTTTCGTCTGAAGATGAACAAGCCCATACCGATTCTCAACATCTTTAACATCTTCACAGAAGCTGCGTCCTTCAAAATGTTTATACATAAGGTTATAAATAGCTTTGGCAACGGTTGTTTTTCCTATTCCACCGATGCCACATATCCCTATCATGTGAACTTTATTTGATCCCACAAATCGCAACAAGTCCATTTGCTCTGCACGTGCATATAATCCAACTAGGTTGTCACCAGCATGTAAGGGCCCATCACTCAGTTTATAAAATATCTCCTTTGAGATTATATCGATGAACCTTGGCTCATGCCTACAAAACCATAAAGAAGATAATACGGATGAGGTTGAAGATTGAAATGAAGCCCATAGAACAAAAACAAGTGTAATACATATGTATATATGATTGACTATACTCATTTTGGAGTGTACAGTAGCTATCCCACTAAACTCTAATTTTAAACCCCACTCATGCAACACAAAAAATAGAACAAATCGGTCTACTATTCTAGTCCCCCTGGGTCTATTCTATGACATGAGTTACAATGCATATGGAATGACTGATACCTCTAATTATCTTATCATACAACAGATGGAGAAATTAGATGACTAGATGTCAAATTATTGTAGTGCTTAAACAATTAACACTAAAAACAAACAACTATAATCATGCAAAGCAGGTAAAATTTATTTAATTGGAAGGAGGGGGAAAGGTGAAAGGAGGGAAACCTTAGCATTGAGTATTTACCCGTTGGTCATATTTTGGAGATCCCATCCTGATAAGTTCGCAGCCAAGGTTAGAGCTTGCTTCCATTTGAAAACCTCCGTCCTATTTAAAGCTTCATGCTTCATGATCGCTTCTTTATAGCTCCCAGTTTGATTGCGCACCACTGCTGGCGTCACATCGTAAAAGATAGGCCGGACTTCATATTTGTCCTTCTCCCTTGCCTTGCACTCGAGGATTTTCACAAGTTCTTTCATACACAATGTTGAAGAAGCATAGTTGTGTGAGAAGATGACTATCAAAAACCTCGATTGTTCAATGGCTTTGTGGATCTCAAAAGATGTCTCTTCTCCTCTATTTACCTGATCATTGTCCCCATAAGCACGAATTCCTTTTCTTTTTAAATCGCTAAAGAGATGGTCGATGAAAATTTTGCCTATGTCTTCACCTCTAAAACTAAAAAATACATCATAAGCCCATTGATGAGAAGATGATGAAGCCATCATAGAAAAGCTGCCTGGCAACAATATGATCAAGGGAAGTGAGGAATGCTAACTGTATCTGGTGCGACTGATTGAATAATTGGAAACTGCATGCAAGTTAACATATGCCCATGAATATAGAGATCAAGAAACTCAATGTCATACAGAACTATCACTACTCAGAGTCAGAGTTTGAGATTGAGATCTTGCACAAGATCAGAACCCAAACCAACTCTACTCCAACAACATTTATCACTTTTGCTTGCACTCTGTTCCCAAAATGATCCAAATGAACCGAAAGGGTAACACAACTTGGTATTTGAATAACACACATACACATTGCATATGCAATATAAAATAATAACAATAATCATAATACTAATTTAAAAGAAAATATAGAAGGATCATTACTCATATGGACCGGGTAAACTTGAGACCTTCTGGCCAGCATACAGGCTCCTAAGGAGTTGATAGCACCTAATTGGATTGATTATTCCTCATTGACATCATAATATTTTCATTTCATTAATCTCGTGAATGGTCAAGTAGAACTCCATTCATATGCTCAAGCTCTATAAGATCTCAAACGAATATAAGAAATGGAAAAGTAGTTGTTTGCTCTCGAGCACAATCATGCTTGCAAACTAACCAATTTTTCTTAGGTATAGAAAGGAATAGGTTCTTGATGGGTTTTCAACATCAAAGATCATGCAAATGGTGAGTTTGAAGTCAGGATTCTAGAAAATGGTTTACTCAAGCTTATGAAGTTTTTCAGCATACCTTCACACCAAGTGCAAAAAATTGACAACCCTGTGGAGTTTTTTAGTTGTTGCTATCATTAAATATTGACATGTTCACCAACTTGATGTAAACAATGTGCTCCTACATGGTTCTCTTGATGAAGATGTATATATGAAGCCCCCTACTAACTACTTGGATCCTAAGTCGCCACTTGCCTGTAAACTGGCCAGGTCCTTGTCAGGAGTAAACCAAGCTTCAAACAACGGTTTATCAAACTCAGTCAAGCCTTAACCCTATAAGGAATTGGCTATGAAAGGAGTTATCATGACAATCCTTGTTCACAATGAAGAAATGCAGTTGATTTCACCCTTATTTTCATCCATCTTTAATGATGCTTCCATTAAATCCAGTCACAATTTTATAACTGAGATTAAGGATGCTTTGGGTTCCTAGTCAACCGGAGGAAGTACATCCTTCGCAAGTTGGCATGATTAAAGAAGCCAATCTCCTATGATGCAAATCCCCTACCACTACTAGTTACTTGTGCAAACATAACCCCAACCGAGGAAATTGTTTGATGATCCATCTACATGTTGAAAGCTTGAGGAAAATAGTATACATCCCTTTGTTGCTCACCTATTAAGTCAATTCTCAAAAACGAACTCAGACTTCCTACTACAAAGCCTTGATAGTCTTGCTCCTGGTCAAAGGCTACACCTACCATCATCTTCTTCTATTTGATCGAAAGGCTATTGTGATAGTGACTACAATATCCGACTACATCTTCCTTGGAGATCCCTTGACATCTTGGAAATCAAAGAAACAATTAGTGTCTCTAGATCATCATCAGCTTAAGCTGAATATAGGGTTTAATATCCATATCAGTTTGAAGTTGAAACGTAGAACATTACACATTCAAATTCAAAAGCATCTTTTTTCTTTTCATATATAGGAATGGAAGTATGGAACCAACAGTTGGTAAAAAGATGCAGATACAACAAATACATTGCAGGCGCTGTAAATTCAATAGTTGACCTGAAGTTAATCCATGGCAATATGGCATATTCGTTTATTCACATGAAATCATAAGTTATCAGGACCGGACTGATTAGATAGAATCAAGCGATAAGTTCAAATTTTCATTAACAAAAAATCAATGATGAGCATTTGTTATGCTTGAAACACTACGAGTGAAGGCATAATCGATATGATATGATACCGGAAAACTGCAACAACATTCGTCGCATTTCATACCTCGCCTTCGCCGTCGTATCCGCCGGCTGTCCGGCCTGCCTTTCGGAAGGAAAAAAGTCGGTCCGGATTGATTGGGATGACAGTCAATGGCCCACAACTGTTAAGCAAACGGGTGTTTTTGGATGCGACAAAAACTGATTAGAGTAAATTACATTTTTGGTCCCTGTATTTTGTTAAAAAGTATCACTACATTCCTTAAACTCTGTTTATTGCATTTCTGGTACCTATGGGTTGCATTTTATTATGAAAATAGTTTTATACCTGCTGCAATACAGTTAAATATAAAACTTTCTTGTAAATAAAAATTTAATTAATTATTTATTTATAAAATATTATACTTTTTAAATTATGGTATTGTTTGTAAGTAAAATAATATTTTGATAACTAAATAAGAAATACAAAGGTTAGAGCCTATAAAAATCATCTATCAAATAGGGTGTTTTTTTTAAGAAATAGTTCATCTTTAAATCTCAAAAGAATTTGAGAACTTTGTTTTGACAACTTCAGTCTTTATCCCATTTTTGAAAGATCAATGGTATTGTAAACATTAAAAATATCATAGTATCATAGTACTTGGTTCATTTTTATTGAAGAGACGATTATAATGATATAATTTATAAAAAAAATAAACATTTTTAAATATATTTTTGTTAATATATAGTTACATATGTTAATATGAGAATGTGTAAAATGAAAAATATGAAGAGAAGAGATATA